AATATGAAGAGGAGGAAATTAATCAGATATAGTCTGTTAAAACAGCTATACACTCTCTTTTAATAATTTGTTTTATTATAGTCTCTCTTAGACTGGCTGCTGGGACCATGAATTTCACATTTGATCTCATTTGATCTGATCTCATACATTTCTTGGCGTGAATCCCGCTGGGACTGGCTATCAAAAAACCATGCAAAGTGACTATATATCAGATCTTAAAATGGGACCATGACTTGAAAAAAATGAGAAAGTGGTCTCATTTGGTCTCATTTAGTCTCATTCTTGGCATAAAGTTACTATTTTTAGACATTTTAAGGTTTTTTTTAGACTATTTTTAATTTTTTAAAAAGTAACGCTTTTTGATAACACTCAAATGAGATTTAAAGTCATTTAAAGCAATAAAAATAATTTAAATTGAGAAGTGGAAATCATGATCTCATTTGGAAAATGTGACAAGAGTAGACAGTAAGTCTCACTGAGACAGTATGAAACTACTATCTAATGATAAAACCGTGTAATGGGATCAGTCGAATTGGTAATGAAACTATCAAAAAATCTGGTCCTGGTTTCAGACATGGTCACACGGTCAGTCTAGTCTCTCTTTACTTTATCTTTTTCTTTATCTTTTCCTTTCAATTTCTTTCTATCTATTTATTTAATGTGTCTATCTTTGAGACTGTGTTCTTTTTCTCTTTTCTTTTGTCATGATATTGTCAAATGGTTTCAAAGTATCAAAAGATGTTAAAACACTGCAATTTGTAAACAGTTTTTGTATTCTGAGCTGGAATTTTCTGATTTTGCATATCTGAAATTGATGAATGTATAATAGTTAACTTTACAGACATAGAAAAAACCCTGAGAACTAAAGTTCTCAGGTAGATGTCATAGTCTCTGACTGCATACATCTATAATTGAAGAATAATAATAATAATAATACTGTAGTAATATATCAGTTTATTTCTTACAGTAATAATAGCCTGAACACTTGACCTGTATTTAACATCATGTAAGAACTCATTATAACCTTCACTTGTATATAAGTATAATAAAGAAATAATAATAATAATAATAGAAATTCTATGAGTTTTTCAGCTAAGAATCAGTAACTGAGAATTAGACTGACTGTCAGAACTATGAATTTCACATTTAATCTCATTTAATCTGATCTCATACATTTCTTGACATGAATTCTGCTGAGACTAGTCATCAAAAAAACATGCAAAGTGACTATATATCAGATCTTAAAATGAAACCATGACTTGAAAAAAATAAGAAAGTGATCTCATTTAATCTCATTTAGTTTCATTCTTAGCATAAAGTTACTATTTTTAGACATTTTAAGGTTTTTCTTAGACTATTTTTACTTTTTTAAAAAGTAACACTTTTTGACAACATCTAAATGAGATTTAAAGTCATTGAAAGCAATAAAAATAATTTAAATTGAGAAGTGAAAATCATAGTCTTATTTGAAAAATGTGATAAGAGTAGACAGTAAGTCTTACTGAGATAGTATGAAACTACTATTTAATGTTAAAACTGTGTAATGAAATCAGTCAAATTGATAATAAAACTATTAAAAAATCTGATTCTGATCTCAGACACAGTCATATAGTCAATCTACTGAGAATTAGAGCTTTCAGCAGAATCTATAAAATGTAATAAAATAATCTATATAATTAATCAGATATAGCTTATCACATTAACTCTCTCTTTTCAGAAGTAAAATTATACATAATTCTCATCAGTTAAGTACTGCTGTCTTAAATAATATAAAGCTTGAAGTTCAGATTAGATAATTATAACTGACTTATTTTATAAAATATTATTAGCTGTAGCTGCAGTCTGCAGAGTCTCTTATTAAGAATATTTTCAATATTTTACTCAAGTTTATTATTTAATTCTATAATCTCTGACAGCTGTTAGTCAGAAGTCAGTTAAGAAAAGAATAAGTCTGTAATAATACAGTGAAGTAATGTCAGAAAAAAGAGATTATACACTACTGAATGTCACTAACATTGGATTACTATAATATTTCTCATTATTATTAGTATTATTATTATTCTTCAATTATAGATGTATACAGTCAGAGACTATAACATCTATCTGAGAACTTTTAGTTCTCAGGGTTTTTTCTATATCTGTAAAGTTAACTATTATACATTCATCAATTTCAGATATATAAAATCAGAAAATTTCAGCTCAGAATACAAAAACTGTTTACAAATTGCAGTGTTTTAACATCTTCTGATACTTTGAAACCATTTGACAATATCATGACAAAGGAAAAGAGAACACAGTCTTAAAGATAGACATATTAAATAGATAGATAAAAAGAAATTGAAAGAAAAAGATAAAATAAAGAGAGACTGTAATAAAATCAATTATTAAAAGATAGTATATAGCTGTTTTAACAGACTATATCTGATTGATTTCCTTCTCTTCATATTCAGATAATTCTGAATTTAGTCATTTTCTTATAGCTGCTTGAGTTTCTGATAGAAAGTCTATTAAGTATTTAATTCCTGTCTCAGTTGAGAATAAGAATCTCATATTTAATTGATTTAGATCATACTTCTCTTTCAATCTGACTCTGAGACTATTGTATAATACACAGTGTATTACAATATACTCAGAATTCTTATTTGAATTGCAGAATGAGCATTCTATTGAGTCAAATCTATCATCAAATCTTTGTATATAAGATTTAAAATAGCTATATTCTAGTTTCAGCTGTATTATAGATCAGAATATTTTCTTTTTATATTTAATTAAACAAGATTTTCACTTGAGTTTTGTTTTAAATCTTGAATAATATATACTCTTCTTTTATTTCTGCTAGCTTTCATTTCACTTATTTAAATAAGATTCTTTTATTTTTCTCTTTATAAAAGATCAGAATATAATTTTTTAAATAGATCTGCTTAATTCTATACTCTTTTTTACAGCTGAATGAGTCAATTCATTGTCATGAATATTCATATGAGTAGAAACTCAGTATAGATGAATTATCAGCTTTGATATTCTTCTCTTTTGAATTTTTAAAACAGAGTTTAAGATCAGTTCAAGATTTATTTGATTATTATAAATCTGACTATTTCTAAGTCTTTTTAAAGCAGCTTGACTATCAGAGAATATTCATATCTCTTTCAAACTATTTTCTCTTTTATAAGATTTTATTTCAATGAGTTTGAAAGCTTTCACTATTATAAATAGTTCAGTATCAAAGACTTCAGATTCACAGTCTAGATTTCAGAAATCTGAGATAAAATTGATATTATCTTCAGTATAAGCAATGTCTGTGTCTAATCTACTTAAATTCTCATTTTTTGAGTCATCTGAATAAATCAGAATAGAGTCTTTTATATTGATTATAGAAATTCTCTTCAAATACTGTTCATATTCTTTCTCTTTAAATAGTTCACTTATTTGTAAGTCTATAAGAGATTCAAGCTTTTCTCTTCAGAGAGATAACTTCTCATGATCAACTTTTTCAATATTTAAAGAAGAAAATTGATTTTTAATCATAGAGCATAGTCTGTACAGTTGAGAAGGCATTTTCTTTGAAGATTTATTTTCATTTCAATCAAGAAATCTATTTCAATTCAGTTCATTTTCAGAGTTAATTGATGAAAATGAAGAAGAGACTCTTTCTCTGATTATATGATTTAAGCTCATCTTTATAACTCTCAGAGCATAGTTTATACAGGCCTTTTCAAATCTAATAGCAGAAGAAGGAATTGAAGCTTCAATTTTCATTGCTTTAATAGAAGATGATTTAAATATTTCTCATTATTATCAGCTTACTATAACACTCATCTAATACTTGCTTATGCTAGCTCTCTTGACTCGCATATATATTTTACTATAAATAGCTCTATCTTTTGTATGAAATAGATATATTAGATAGTGCATGAATAATATAACAAGCAGATCTTGATACACATAAGATTCATATGTCTTCAACATATTCATCCGTGACACTCATTCCGACAAGTAAGCTTGTATAAAAGATATTATGAATTTCTGATAATATGTTAAAATAGTACTTATCACTGTCTAAAATCTCTATTACTTTGTATTTAACATGATAATATTTCAGTGTATAAGATAAACATACGATTAGTATATTTTTAAGATTTAATTATATGATTCAAAGATCGCTTAAGCCAGCGTATAATTTCAGATGTATGCCGGCTTCTTATATACATTATACTAAATTAATTAGTGATGACATTTCAGTCTCTGACTTTCTTTCAAGCTACATGACCGGGTTCAGAGTGTGCTACACTATAATGTTCTGTCATGAGAAGGCTGGCCGGCTCCTGTCAGTGAATGCAAGCAGTCTGTCAAGCCTCAGCTGAGAAGGGCGGCGGTCTGTCACAACTGGTAGATGTGTGCCATTTATCTCAGAGAATGATGCGCTGCTGAAGGAACTCAAGGAGGACAGTGAGCCATGAGATGAGATTGTCAAGTGCTTCCCGGGCAGATCCAAGGTGACTCTGCAGGTGCAGTACTCCATTAAGCTGAAGCATTGCACCCCGCCGCCAACTCGCAAGTCGAAGTCAAAGTCAAGGCTGAGAAAACATGGATGCTGTTGAGCGAGAATATCCCAACAGCTGCTACAAAGAGACTGCCACAGCTATTCACTTACTCCGTACAGAAATCTCTCCTTGTCATGGGATGAAGTGGCCACTTCCGGTGCGCCCCACGCCAGTGTCTCTCCACAAAGTAGGGAGTAGGGGTGGCTGGTTGAAAAGGCAGTGGGTCCTGGGATCCGCGCGCGAGGGGGCGCGGTGGACGCGGGATTGTAAAGCCGATTGGTTAGGACCTTGGTCTGTGTAACATGTCAATATCAATTTCAGTTCTGATTTGTTCCGTACTTTGCCTGTCTTGATTGTTTTCTCTTCTCATTTTGTTTGATCTTTGCCTGCTTAGCATATTTGATTCCGGTCCACGAGCTCCATTGACATCGCCTATCACATTCCAGCCGAAGGTCTATCATGCCTACGCCCATGGTATGGTACTTTCTTTGGGTGTGTTCCTTTGTTTGTGTCTTTGTTTGTTTGCTCTTCCCCCTCCTTTCTTTGCCTCTCACTTTGGGTTTTTCTTCCATTTCCGTTCGTCTATTCTGTCTAGATCCTCGGTTCTGGGTATCTATATGTATATTCTTAAAGCGTAATATATCATACGCCGCAAATCGACAAGATATTCGCATCTCAGCAGAAACCCCGTCGCTCTTCTCACCTGTAATAGAAGTTTTAAAAGGATTCACCGCAATGCAGAATGCCAATCATGGCGCGCGAAGATCTTCATCAACTGACATCAAGGGCGGCCGCAATACGTCTCGGCGAGACGAAATCATGGAGATCCATAGCCAGGCGCTCGAATGTCCACGATACTCGAGGCGATAGAAAGGGGGAGTAAAGAACGATATGATGCTGCCGATCCACGGGCCTCTGCGAGAGAAGATCGGGATTATTTGAGTGCCGGTAACTACTCATTTGTGGTGCTGATGGGATATAACATACGGCTACTTCTCGGTTCACTATCGTGGCGGCAGTTTCTCATAACGTGCATTAAAAAGCTCCTGAAAACCAACATACCTTTGGACTGCGGCCACCTCCAGATATTTATTAGTGTTCAAACTTATTCCCATCTTTTTTCATGAAATATTTGCTGGGGCTTATATATCCTTGTGATCATCTAGCGATTTAGTAAGCCGTCTAAGTGGAGTGGACATAATTCGCCACGAACAAGAGCAATCATTAATTCTATTTAGTATCAATTAGAGCTCAACTATCATCGCGTAGGATCATATAACTATTTTGGGCCTTGCGGCATTCCAACAATCTCATAAGTACACCTCGTATGACTTCTAGAAAATCAATCTCTTCGTCAAAGATGCTATATTAAAAGACAAAACAAAGAGAATTCACGCTATCAATACACAGAATCTTTACTAGTTTACAGCATCTGAGTTATCCTGTGCATGCTGAAGTGTTCCAATCATGTTCTGGGATAGGTTGAAATTTGGTTTCTTCCACCGTCCGCCGTCTGGAAAGACAAGGCGCCGTAATCGGTTGACGCAAGGGATCAATGATTGATAATACGGAGTAAAATAGTATTGTGCAATTCGAAGAAAATCCCCCTCCTCACTTATCACTCCTTGCTTCGCAGCCGCCAGCTCTTCAGTACTCATATAATTCCATTTCTCAAACCGTTTGACAGTGATCCCCTTCCCTGGGCTTTCATAGTGAATGCATATCCAGAAAAGAACCCAGAAGAATGACTCCAGATCATGCATGAAACAATGCTTTTCACCGTACAAGACACCGATGGCCATGAATGCTCTGGTGCCCGTTTTGCCCCGTGCGCCGGAAGACCCATCCCGTTCTAACTTGATTGCCAGGTCAAGGTCGATCAGAAAGGCAGGCCATGATGGGTTATTCTTGTCCTCATTCACCATCAGGTTCCGGGGGGAAATGTCGCATTGAATGAGGCCAGCCTCATCATGGAGTGACATGTATCCTTCAATACAGCGGGCCAGCCCAGTGAGAAGTATAGCCTTCGAACTACTCTCATAGATTGGTTTCCCGTAATCCCGGATAACGACACGGCGGTGAACTCGATTGAATGGGGCTGAGTCACCTGCAGATTTGGATGGAGAACTTGACTGGATACGCTTACTTGGAGGAGGAAATGCCTTGTCCATGCAGTCAGATGATCGCTTCTGGCCGGCGGTGCTGCCCTGGCTCTTTTTTCCTCTTTGAGCCCTACTACGCCGCACTCTCGCGTTAAAGCCACCCTTCTCATCTTTTGAAATCGGAATACCGAGGCCCTTTCTGATAGTCAAGACATCATCATCCTTGTTGTCAATGCGAACGGTCTCATGGTGATAATACCTTGCGACATTCTTGACCCCCTTCATCATCGCCTCTCGCAGCAACTCTCCTTCCTCAGTGCGTTCTGGATACTGCCAGGAGTCCTTGACAACCAGTGGCGTCCGTAATTTGTCTGTCTCACAGTATACCTTCCAGCAGGTTGTGGCTCGTCCGGCAACACAACGTGCTCGTCCAACAGTCTCATTGATAATCAGCCGTTCCTTTGTACCATTCCTATCAATTTCAATATACCGTTCGGTCCCGGTCGCGACGATGGTAGGATCAAACCCAAGCTGTTTCCGGCTCATCAAGAGGAATCCAAGAATAACAGACACAAATTGAAGGTCATTCTGATTGATGTTGAATTCCTCTGACGCGATTCCGCCCAGGCGGTCAAAGTTCCACAGTCGTAGGAACTGCCCGCAGAGGGTGAACCTGAGCACAAAATGACGGGTGTCCTGCGCAGCGAGGACCTCTCGGGCGTACCTGTCAAGATCAAACCATGCACCGGATTTCCTGTCATATTTCGGGTCGTTCTTCAGCTCCCCTGGCACCAGGATTTGTGACCAGTGACATTTCGAGTCCACTGTGGCTGTCAGATCATTGACAAGGCCGACATCGAGCTTTCTCTCCGCGACAGACCCTTGTAGTGGCTGGCTTGGCTGTGCGAGAGGTCTATGGTCGACCTTCCAGGACGGCTCTTGTGCTTCAGTTAATCGTACGAGCTCAGTGATGATGTTAGCCAGTCATCTCAGAACATCTTTTTCTGCTGCAAGTTCAGGCCAGCCCTTCCAGCCCTCATCTTCACAGTAAAGTGGGCTGTTCCCCTTCTTGCACTCCTCCAACACCGCTTGTGAAACTGCAGTGAGTTGTGGAATGTCTCCAAAGTACGCGTCAAAGAATCTAGGGATGTCGACGTGTATCTCCCCAAGTTCCTCCTTGAGCACAATGTCAACGTGCTTTCGATATTCTGTAGAATTGGCGAAACTGCTAGTGTTGCGCAGCCAGGGCGTCTGTTGGATCGATGATGTAGGATGAGGAGGAGGAGGGGGAGTGCCTCGCGAGACGGCGTCAATAAGACAAAAGACGGCGTTCCAGATATGGACGTCCAGGTCTTTTTGGATGACGAGCTGCGCCAACGCTCGGCAGTGGTTGTAGATGAGGTGGCCTTGTTGGAGGCGCTTGAATAAACTGGCGAGATCGGAAGCAAGGTTTTCATCGCCGGTTCGTGAGCCAAGTTTGAACGCGGCTTTCTCCCCCATCAAGGTGATAAGGAGTTTCGATATTGCCTGTTGGCAAATTTCATCCTGATGGTCAGTGGTGTCATTATAATTTTGTTCCGCCTCATGAAGTAGATCTTGTAATCGGTAAAGTGAGTCGTTTAGAGGATGCTGTGCGATGATGTCGCAATCGTGGACCGAAAGCTCAGCCATGTATGTGGAAGCAAACACGAAATAAAAGTACAGAATTGTTAGCGAGTTATGATACCTGCGAGAGAAGTTATCAAAGCTTGGCTTTGATGCACAACGCGAAATGTGGGAACGGACAGAGCCGCTGAGCAAGGAACCAGGTGAATATTAATCTTATTTGATCGCGACGCAATGGTAATAAGCGCGAACAAAATATTGAACCCGTGTTGTGATTGTGAGGAAGGTCGGCTATTCAAATTTAGGATTGGTGGAGGGTGTTTTCAAAATATACCCGGAAATAAGATAATCCGTTCCGTTCACCTTGTTTACCACGTTTGCTCAAGGTGGCTTTCCGATTTGTATTTAAGCAAATGTGTTATCTCAGCGGGCTCAGACCCTCTGGCTCGGTTTGAACGGGTTGCAGCATTATTATTAACTAGTTAATCCGGCATGACACTAACCTACTTTTGATACAAGTCATGTGCTCAGAGCAATCCTCGCCAGAGGATCTGAGAAGAAATGATTCCATCTTCAATGAAGATTCCTGAGATTTACAAGGATTTTTTAGATTCTTTAACTTTGACTTTCTATTACTATATATTCACATATCTTTGAGATTTGAAAATCATCTTAGCTTATAGCTAAAGAGAAGAAGAATAGAAATATTTCTTTAATATTTCAAAAAAATCTATATTTAAGATAGATGTATACTCTTGAAAATAATCATATTTTTTAATCTCAGAATTTCTAAGAGCTTTTTTTTATATGAGAAATTGAATTAAAATTCCTGTATTCAAAAACACACTAGTTAACTTTGAGATGATACTTCTATTCTAGAAACTTAAGATATGAATATAAAAATCAGATACATTACAAGAACATTATTATTCTAAGATTTCAAGATAATATGTGATTCAAAGATTGCTTAAGCCAGCATACAATTACAGGCGTACGCCGGCTTCTTATATATTGTAATATTATACACTAAATTAATTAGTAGCTGCTATAACTTCTCTTTACATTTGTACACTAGTAGTTCAGAAGCAGCTGTGTTATTATCTGATAATTGTATATTCTTTCAAATCATATTCTCTCTTATCAGATTCAGTCACACTCACATAATCATGTCATATATTCTAGCTTCATATGAATTAGCTCATCACTAGTGTTTCACAATTATGTAATCTATCTCTGATTTGACTAGTATCTTATATACACTCTTATAAAGAAACTTTCACTATATTATATTACTTATTTACTAACTTTTCTCATTCTTTAATCATCTTCTCTATCATTATCATCATTAAACATTATTATTATTCAAGATTTCTATCTCTTCTTCTATTCAACTCTTTCTATCTGTTCATCTATTATATTATATACATTTCTGACAATGATCTCTCATTTTCATAACAAGCATCATTGTAGTACTTATACTGAGCAGTTCATTAGCAGTAAGTGTAATATGTTGTGAAATATAATCAGAACTTGTTTATCTTCTAATAATTGTCAGAATATACTATTATGAATGATATATCTTCTTCATCTTCTTATACACTTTCTTCATCTTCTTATATACTCTCAATTATTTCTCTTCTCAGCAGATTTCTAATCATGTTTTCTGGCACAATTTTGCATAAATGCAGATGCTGATATGTTGTTTTTATTCACATAGAATCTTCACATATTGACAGATTCATATCTACTGATAATAGTGAACTCAATATTAAATCATTAATTGAGAACTTGAAGAATGTAATAATGAAGAAATTATCTATATTATATGTAGCTGAGTCTTCTACATTTCTTTCTGATCTTTCTGTTTCTTTCTCTACTGCTTTCTCTTAATCTTCTATATCTGTCTCTGTGTCTGATTCTCCTGCTTCTGCTATCTCTGTTCTCACAATTCTTACTTCTATCACTTCTGATTTTACTGTCTCTGCTTTTGTGACCAGCTCTCCCTGTTTCAAGAAGATATTGTATAGACTTAATGAATCACATCTCTCAGTATGTATACTTCTGCTCTTCTTATCAACTCTCAGAATAATTTATTATATAAAGACTGTGTATAATATGACTATCTGAAGCTCAGTTGTGAACATCAATTATTATATTTATTTTAAATATTCATGATAAGATAATTGTTTATTTATATCAGAGAATCACTCTCTTCTTTAACAGTGTTAAGATTGTAAGTTTTTTTCTTTTTCATCTTTTCTTTCTAATACTGATTTTTCTGTTCTTAGAGAAAATCATTATGAGTTTTACTGTGTACAAAGTTATGATGTTCACAGATATCAAGAAGCTTTTCACAACTGTAAAGTTCAATATTACAGAGACATTCACTCTGATGAATTTCTTTAGAATAATAGATCTGTATTAGTCTATTCTCTGACATCTGTCATCTGACTTTGTGATGCAGGTAAAAGATATCTGTGTTTTCAGAAACAGGAACATGAATGTCATACTCTTTTACACTCACAGATGTGAGGCTTGTACATCTTGTCTGAGATGTCATTATAAGAATGAGCTATTCACATGCTGTGTTCTACTTTCTGTATTCTCTCATATCTCTCTCTCTCTTTCTGAGAAGTCTCATGCATGTTGTAATTATGTGTACAACTCTAAGATCAGCAGATATTTGTTCAATAACTATTCTCATCTCTGATTTTACAATTTTCATATACTAATAATAATTCTTAGTTACTTCAGCATCAGAGATCATTCTGATTGAAGATGATAACACTGCTGACACTATTCTCTCTCACTCTCAAGCTTCTTCTATCACTTCCTCTTTCTTCTCTGCAGAGAAGACTGTGTGTACACTGAGTTATAAGTATTCAGTCTCAGATGACTTCTGTTATTCATTCAGTTCTGCATCTCTCTCTTCTATTTCTTCTGTCTTCATTTCTTCTTTCTTAGCTTCTGATTCTGTAGATTCTGTACTCTTCTTCAATTTCTCTACACATATGTGTATGCATTTTTATATTGGCATTTCAGTCAATCTTGTGATAAATGACATTAATGTTGTACACAGAGTGATAGAGAAATCAGAGACATGTATAATATTATTATAAGAGTGACTTACAGCTCTTGAATCTCTTGTAAACCTCAAGTTTTGAGATTTTCTTTATTTTTGACATTTTTCAGATGATATGACTTTGGAAATAGATTAACATGTGATATATGAAAATGAATGAGATGAGTATGATAACATTTGTCTTTTACAGCTGACTCTTATAGTTGATAATCAATTTATTATCTCTTTTCTTACACTTTTTCTTTATCTGCTAGTCACTACTCTTATACAATCTCTATATAATACAGTGTTCAGTGACTAGATTTGACAGCTTTCATGTTTTGTGATTCTATCTTATATATTATACTGTCTCTCTTCACTCACTCAGACTACTACAGTGAACAGCTCATTAAAACTAATCTTATCTGATCTCTGAGTGTTCTCAGAAGTTGAGATGATATGATTTCATGCATCTATGAATGTTTCAGATAGTTTATTCTCTGTGATCTCTGTGATTGAACTGATGTAAACAGTTAAATTCAACTCTGAATTCCTTTTTCTTCTGTAATCTGACTTATGTACAAGTCTGCTGCTCTGAGACTGCTCTTTATCACATTGTGTCTGCTGTCTGCAGTATGTTATCATATAATCAGCTACAGTCTCATCACTTATTGAAGTGTGATATTTATCTGATTTCTTCATTTCTTCTCATTCTTTCCTTATAATTGTGAAAAGATTGAAATAAGTGAGATCATCTGATTTGTAAGCATCTATGATTTCTCTTACTTCATAAGACTTTTTAATTGTAAGTCTCTTCTTTTTCAACACTGATAATAGTGCTGTGAATAATCATAATCTGCTCAGATCTTACATCTTTACTTCTACTAGTTATGAATCATTGATTCAGTTGTATAAGATCTGTCTCTCTGATTCTTTCAATGTGTACATTCTCAGAGAATGTGATTTGAGTATTTTATATGACTTAAATCATCTAGATTGAAACTTCTCAGAACTTTCATTGTGTACAAGAACTTATATTCTCATCTTGAGACTTGATTTCTTAACTAGTGAGTCTCATATTCTTTTCAATTGAATTGCTCAGTTCAGAAGTAACTTGTTAGCTTTTATATATATATAACTGATCTCTTTCAATCTTGATTTCATGTCTGTGACTGCTGTATCTGTAACTGCTGTTTTCTTCTTCATCTTTTCTGAAGCATTCTTCAGAATGCGTGGATGCAATTCATACAATAGATAGAATAATGAATGCTTAGAGACTGCATGCTGCTGAATTTGTGTGACTAATAGCACCTGACTGTGATATTCATTTCATAATCTTATAGGCTTACTCACTAGATATTTTGTCAGCATGTTGCTTAAGATTTCATTCAAGTGTTTCATCTTCCTGTTCATCTGCAGATGATATAGTATTGTTCTACAATATCTTGTCTGTAACTGGCTTATGAAATGCCTCATAAGTTCTTCTATGAGATTTGCATTATTATCAGGTAGAATCTTGCACAGCATTTCATAGTTAACATAGATCTCATTATATAGAAACTTCATCATCATCTTCTCTATCATCTCTGAAACTGCTTTCACAACTGATCAGTCAGTAGTGTAATCAATAGCAGTGATTATTCATCAATTTTTATTTGATGTTCACAGTAATATGTCTATGAGGTTCATTTCTCATTATTTGAATGATTGTATCATATACTTCATCTGATATTGTGCTTTCTTGCATTCTAATTCTTTCTTAGATTCTTTCACAACCTGATAATTCAGACACTTGTGAGTGTACATCTGAATGTTCTCAGTCATGCTTGATCAGTATGCTCTTGATTTGAGTACACTTATAAGTTCAGAGCTTTCTAAGTGACTGAATTTCTTGTATATATAAGTCACTAAGTTGTGTCTAAATAAAGATTCTAGATAGAGAGCTTCTGTGTATTCTAGATTACAGTAAAGCATAATGTTGTTTTTTAATTTTCTTAGCTTAAAGTTCAG